TTAGGGTTTAGGGTTTAGGGTTTAGGGTTTAGGGTTTAGGGTTTAGGGTTTAGGGTTTAGGGTTTGGGGGGTACCTGAATCTGAGGGTGTTCTAATTGGCTTAGATTTCTGCTGAGGGTTTCAAAGAAATGTGTGCTGCCTCCATTAGCATAAGCTGTCTGTACAATCCCTATCTTTAAAGGAGGCTGAGGAGACAGCTTAATTTTGTCTGTCTCCTGCTGCAGCACAAAGGAGACAGAAGGAGACAGAGCAGAAGCAGATAGAACCAAACAGCAGCAAACAGCAGCAGCAGACAGCAGCAGCAAACAAATATACAAAACAAACAAACAAACAAACAAACAAACAAACAAACAAACAAAGAAGGAGACAGAAGAAAGGAGACAGAAGAAAGGAGACACGAAAATAAATGTTTAACTGAGTTAATATGAGGTCTGACTATTTTGCTTCCTGCTGCTTTCAGCAGCTTCGCCAGCAGCAGCACAAAAAGAGCAGCTAATCTGTCTCCGTCGAAGACTCGAAGTGTCTCCTTTTGCTGCTCTTCTTTGTCTCCTCCTCGTCGCCACTGAAAGTATATTATTCTGTCAGCATCGCCATCAAATGAACAGCATACGCCTCCTTCAGAGGGGTCTCCAGCGTAGCCTGAGTGTAAACGCATACACACACAATCCTGCTGCTGCTGCTGCTGCTGCTGCTGCTGTTGCTGCTGCTGCTGTTGCTGCTGCTGCTGCTGCTGTTGCTGCTGCTGCCGTTGCTGCTGCTGCTGTTGTTGTTGTTGCTGCTGTTGTTGTTGTTGTTGTTGTTGTTGCTGTTGTTGTTGGTACTCTTTCTGCTGTTGTTATGGCTTCTATTGCTGCTGCTGCTGTTGCTGCTGTTGCTGTTGCTGTTGCTGTTGCTGCTGTTGTTGCTGCTGCTCTTTCTGCTGTTGCTGTTGTTTCGATTGCTGCTGCTTCTGTTGTTGTTGCTGCTGCTGCTGCAGTATCCCTTCTTGCGGGGACGCAGCAAACTCCAAATGACGAAAATATGCAGCAGCACCTGCTGCTGAGGGAAGACTGCTGCTGCTGCTGCTGCTGCTGCTGCTGCTGCTACTAGAGATACTACTGCCAATCCGTCAAGATGCACCAGCAGCAAACTCCACACGCCGACAGCAGCAGCACGAACAACCACACCAGCAGCCGCAGCAGCAGCAGCAGCAGCAGCAAACACAACCACGACAGCAGCAGGAGCAGCAGCAGCAGTAGCAGCAGCAGCAGCAGTAAGTGCTTACCGAATCTTTGAGGCAGTCTTCCTTCTTTCTGTACAAATTCAGAGCCGCACTTGTCGTTGATCGCGTGGCTGTAGCAGCAGCAGCTGCTGCTGCTGCTGCTGCCGTTGCTGCTGCTGCTGCAGTCCTCTGTCTCTTCGCCCGTGTTACGCACATGCAGCTGCTTGTCTCCAAACAGCAGCAGCAGCTGCTGCAGCGGAGCAGCAACAACTGAACCCGCCCCGTTGGCGCAGTCAAGAAACACAGGGGCCGAGCCACACCCTGAATCAAACCCCAAACCCTAAACCCTAAACCCTAAACCCTAAACCCTAAACCCTAAACCCTAATGCCCAAACCCTAAACCCTAAACCCTTGCTTTTTGCAAGGGAAGTAGGCTTCAACCAAGCTACGTGGCTATGATTCCGGTAGCACTGACGTATTATTGCTTTTGCTGCTGTTGTTGCTGCTATCTCTGTTACTGTTGCTGCTGCTGCTGCACGTTCTTTGCGTGTTGCTGCAGTTGCTGCTGCTGTTGCTGCTGCTGCTGCTGCTGCTGTTGCAGTTACCTTGCAGCAGGTTGTCTTTCCGCAGCAAGTCAGTGAGGACTCTGAGGTGTTGTTCAAAATAACAAAAGTAGAAGCGCGGCAGCTGCTGCCCTAGTTCAATTGCGAGCTGCTGCAGCTGCTGCAGCTGCTGCTGCTGCGGCAGTTGCTGCTGCTGCTGCTCCTGCTGCTGCGGCAATTGCTGCTGCTGCTGCTGCCGCATTCTAGACCCGAAGAGGGGGCGGAGTGCAGCAAGGAGCTCGCTGTGCTGCTGCTGCTGCAGCAGCGGGGCCCTGCTCTCAATTGCTTCGTTGCACAGCCGTACTAAAAGCTGCAGCTGCCCTGTCGTCTTAACTCCTAAAGGAATGAAGACAGCAGCAGCAGCAGAGACACCAGCAGCAAATGCAGATTCAAGAGCAGCAGAAGACTTGCGGGGGTCGCGCGCCAGCAATACGCACCCCCAAAGCCCTTCTCGCTTCTGTTGCTGCTGCTGCTGCAGTTGCTGCTGCTGCTGCTGCTGCTGCTGCTGCTGCAGTTGCTGCTGCTGCTGCACTTCTTGTGTCTCCTGATGCAGCCCTTCTCTTCTTATTAAATGCAAGTTTTTGTATATTGTCTCCGCAGCAGAAAAGAATGCATCTGTCTCCTTTTCAGCGACCTCCTCACTGCTGCTTTGCTGCCCACATGAGGAGACACCCTTATTCTGCTGCTGCTGCTGCTGCTGCTGCTGTAAGTGTGCATTAATGAATTGCTGCAGCAAGTCTTCAAGAAAAGGAGACAGGAGACAGCCCGAAGGTGCTGTAAGCTTAAGGCCGTTGTCTCTCTCTGGGTTGTGGCTTGCAGTAATAACAGCGCCTAAGACAAACCCTGCTTCTTTATTTATGCTGCTGTCTGTCTCTGTCTCCGTCTCTGTCTCTGTCTCTGTCTCTGTCTCTGTCTCTGTCTCTACATCTCGTAGACGCAAAAGAAGAGACAGCAAACCCCCGAACAAACCGCAGCGAAATGCTGCTGCTGGCAGCAAATCTGCTGCAGCACGAAAACCTAAAAAGGAGACAAACAAACAAACAAACAAACAGATAAATAAATAATAATAAAACAAACAAACAATTATATATATATATGTATATATATATATATATATATTTTCAGCTGCACAAACATATGCAAATATATATACATTTTTATAAACATATACATGTATAAATATATATGCGTGTATATAAATATATATATATATATATATTAATATATATATATATATATGTATATATATATTAATATGTATATTAATATATATATATATATTTGTATATATACAGACGAAGAAACAAACGCTCAAATGAAGACAAAGAGAGACAGACAGAGACAAAAAGATAGACAGAGACAGAAAGAGACAAAAAGAGAGAAGAAAGAGAGACAGAAAGAAGAGACGAAGAGACAGAGGACAGAAGAAAGACAAAAAAAGAGAAGAAAGAGAGACAGACAAAGAAGAGAGACAAAGAAGAGAGACAAAGAAGAGAGACAAAGAGACAGAGAGACAATGAAAGAGACAAAGAAGAGAGACAGAGAAGAGAGACAGAGAGACAGAGAGACAATGAAAGAGACAAAGAAGAGACAGAGAGACAAAGAAGAGAGACAAAGAAGAGACAGAGAAGAGACAAAGAAGAGACAAGGGACGCATAAAGAGAGACAGTAGACACCCAATTTGTTTCTATTTGTGTCTTTAGAGCGTAGAATTGATTGAAGACGACAATCTTACGGTTTAGGGTTTAGGGTTTAGGGTTTAGGGTTTAGGGTTTAGTCACCTGAAGTTCCATAGGGCAAATAAACAGAGTGCGTCTGCGGATATGAAAGAAGCCCTTCTTTAACTCTCTGTCTAGAAGGAAGAAGCTGTCTCCAATCAAATGCTGCTGCTGCTGCTGCTGTTGCTGCTGCTGCTGCTGCTGCTGGTGGCGCTGCGTGTGTTGCTGGTGCTTGTTCTTCGCTTGCTGCTGGTTTGACTACTGCTGCTCCTGCTGCTGCTGCTGCAGCTGCAGCAGCAGCAGCAGGAGCAGCAGCAGTTGGCGAGATGGTGTGCAGCATCTTTCGAGGTATATGAAGTGTCTCCCCTTGCAGCAAAAAGGAGACAGACAGCAGCAGCAGCAGCAGCAGCTAAATGATGTAAACAGAAGAATAAATAAAACAAAACAATTAAAACTCTAAGACAATTAAAATATATAACTCGCAGACAAACAGCAGCAAACAGACAGAAGCCACCGGGGGGCCCCCGCGCAGAGAAGTCCGTTTGTTTGTTTTTTTGTTCTTTAAATAATTGCTGCAGGTATAATTTAATATATTTTAAACTTGTGTGCATGCAGCTGAAGACGCAGCAGCTCCTGCTGCTGACCCTGCTGCTGCTGCTGCTCTAGCTGCTCTAGCTGCTGGTCATGCTGCTAATGCTGTTGCTACTGCTGCTGTTGTTGCTGCTGCTGTTGCTGCTCCTCCTACTATTGTTGTTAATGTTAATGTTATTGTTATTGTTATTGTTGTTGTTGTTGCTGCTGCTGCTGCTGCTGTTCCTTCTGCTGCTGTTGTTGCTGTTGCTGTTGCTGTTGCTGTTGCTGCTGCTCCTTCTGTTGCCACTGTTGCTTCTGCTGTTTCTCTTGCTGCTAGCCCTCCTGTTGCGGTTTCTTATGCTGCTGCTGCTGCTGCCTCTGCTGCTGCTGCTGCTGTTGTTGCAACAGGTAGTTAGCAGATAAGGGTGGGAGGAGACAAAGAGACAATCGAAAGCGTATAGAGACATTTTGATGCTACAGATCCTAAACCCTAAACCCTAAACCCTAAACCCTAAAAAAGGGGTTGTAAGAATTGTCTCCTTCTACGTTATGCTCCGACGAGACTGGCGTTAGCATAAAGGAGACAGCTGAGGAGACAGCTGAGGAGACAGCTGAGGAGACAGCTGAAGAGACAGCTGAGGAGACAGCCTAAGACAACAGGATGGTGCTTTCTTTGTGCTCAGTTGTAATAACTAGCGAGAGATGTACAAACAAAAAGAAATAAACAAAAAAGAGAAGATAATAATTAATAGTAAATAAAAGGAGACAGAAAAAGCAGAAGAAGAGACAGAAGAATGAGCGAGAGATAAACAAACAAACAATCAATCTCTATTTCTCTGCTTTTATCTCTGTACATATCATTGTCTCTTTAACTGTCTCCTTTTATCTTTAACTGTCTCCTTTTATCTTTAACTGTCTCCTTTTATCTTTAACTGTCTCCTTCTGTCTCTCTTTGCTGTCTCCTTTTGTCTCTTTTTGCTGTCTCCTTTTAGCTCTTAGTCTCTCCTTTTACTTCTACCTGTCTCCTTTTATCTCTCTGTAGCCAGGTGAACAGACAATGCTAAAGGCGGACGCTAGCTAGCTAGCTAGCTAGCTAGCTAGTTGGCTACCTCCTAGCTAGCTAGCTACATGGCTGTTTGCCTAGCTAGCTAGCTAGCTAGCTAGCTGCTAGTTGCTTAGAGTATGAGAGGTGCCTAGACGCTCTGCTAGCTGGCTAGCTAGCTAGCCAGAAGGTCCGTAGAACCTTGCTGCTGCTGTGCCGCTGCTGCTGCTGCTGCTGCTGCTGGTTCTCCTCCAAGCTGCCTTAG